AGTAAACAGACATTCCGTATTCATTGATAGCAAGGCTCAATACTGTCAAGATATTCTTCCCAATTTGATTTATAAATTTAATAAAATCCCGATCATAATCCCAGTAAGTTATTATATGGATATTAACAAAATGATTCTAAAATGTATATAGAAAGGCAAAAGACCTGGCATAGCCAACACAAGCCTGGAGGAGAAGAACAAAGTTGGAGGAGGACCGACACTACCCAACTCTAAGACTTACTCTGAAGCTACGGCAATCAAGACAGCATGGGACTGGCAAAAGAACAGACGAGTAAGTCAACAGAACAGAACACAGAGCCTAAAAATACACCCACATGAATAGCTGACAAAGGAGCAAAGGCAATACAATGAAGCAAATGGTACTGGAACAAATGAACATCCACATGTAAAAAAAATGAACCTAGACGCAGACCTCACACCTTTCAAAGAACTTAACTCTAGATAGATCACAGACCTAAATGTAAAATGCAAAACTATAAAACCCCTAGGAGATAGCAGCATGGGATAAAACCTCAGATCTGATGATGCCTTCTTAGCTACAACACCAAAGACACATCCATGAAAAAATTCTTGATAAGCTGGACTTCATTAAAATTAAAAACTTCCGCTCTGCAAGAGAAAAATGTCAAGAAAAAGAAGATAACCCATAGACTGAGAGAAAATATTTGCACATGGCATCTAATAAAGGGCTATTATCCAAAATATACAAAAAACTCTTAAAAGTCAACAGTAAGAAAACAAAAAACCAATAAAAAAATGGACAAGACCTTAACAATCATTTCACCGAAGATACAGATGGTTAACAAGCATACAAGAAGATGCTCCAATCACATGTTATCGGAAAAATGCAAATTAAAAGGAGACACCACTGCACACCCATTAGAATGGCCTCGGTCCAGCACACGGACACCGCCACACGCTGGCGAGGACGTGGAGCCGCAGGGACTCTCGTCACCGCTGGTGTGAGTGCACAGTGGTGCACCCGCGGTGGAAGACAGTTTGGCGGTTTCTTACAAAACTAAACACTATCTTACCATACGATCCAGCAATTGTGCTCCTTGGTATTTACCCAAAGGAGCTGGAGACTTATGTCCATATGAAAACCTGCGCACAGTGTTGACAGCAGCTGTACTCATAACTGCCCGGACTTGGAAGATGTCCCTCCATGGGTGAGCAGATAAACTGTGGGACATCCAGACAATGGAATGTTACTCAATGCTAAAAAGAAATGATCTTTATCAAGCCATGAAAAAATATGGAGAAACTTAATTGCATATTACTCAGTGAAAGAAGGCAAGCAAAGAAGGCTTCCAACTACATGACATTTTGGAAAAGGCAAAACTATGGGGTGTGGGGGTAGAAGCAGAGGTGAAATCTCTGTATCTTCCTCTCAATTTTGTTGTGAAACTAAAACTGCTTAAAAAAAAAAACAAAACAAAAAAAACAAAAACAAACAAAAAAAACCTAAGTCTTTTTTAAAAACCCCATCCCTGGGTCTGAGGCACCCAAGCTGCTGAAATGAGTGGCCTTTGATCATGAGGCAGCAAAGAAAGCAAAATCCCCAGGAAACAGGCAAGTTACAGTCAAGGAATGAAGAGGCAAAAAAAAGTTTACATATAGTATAAGAAAGGTCCTCGCTCCAGGGGACTCAGGGTGAGGGGTTAGCAGGGAAGAAGAAAGAGAACACATGAGAAGCCCGCTTCAGTCTGGCCCACACTGAGACCCATGGGGCTGTGAGGCTAACTGTACCTGAGCTCTGCCAGGGTCAGATGCAAGACTGTTGACAAAGTAAGCAAACCTCTCTGAAGGCAATTCTCATCTTCCAGTGCAACGGACAAAAGCTGGTTAGGACACAGACACAGAGCCCCATGTACCAGAACCAGAGAAGAATCCTGGCCCTCACACAAAGTTTTGCCTTGGAAATCGGAGAAGGGGGTTAGCTGGACACATAAACACTGCCCTTGTAAAGACCACAGAAGCAAACAAGACAATGGTCTAATCTCCAGAACACATAAGGAACAGCAGCAAATCATTAAGAAAAGTATAACCCAATAGCAAATGGGCAACAGAAACGAACAGGTAAATCACAGGAAAAAACTTAAGTGTTTTGAACATGAGAAAAGGGTCTCAACCTCACTGGTAACCTAAATGTAAAGGTACATAGGCAGACAGAGGTCAACAGCACAAAATTCTTTAGAAGAACAGAATAATGAGGTGCTGAGGGTGTGGAGAGCACAGAACATGGACGATGAACCTGCTCGCTTTGATGACCAACTTGGAGTATCTCATAAAACTGAGTATGAGCCCTGGCTGGTATGGCTCAGTGGAATGAGTGCCAGACTGCAAACCAAAAGGTTACCGGTTCATTCCCAGTCAGGATACATGCCTGGGTTGCAGGACAGCTCCCTGGTAGTAGGCGTGTGAGAGGCAACCACACATTAATGTGTCTTTCCTTCTCTTTCTCCCTCCCTTCCCCCTCTCTAAAAATAAATAAAATCTTTAAAAAACAACAACACATGAAAATGTGTATGCCCCACTTCTCAAATATGCCCTCTCTGGGAAATCGCATCCAGGTCAGCAGGAGATATTTCTCAAAGATGCTCACTACAGCATTGTGTTTGTAGAGTAAAACCTGATGACACCCTGACTGTCCATCAGTCAGGGAAAAGACGACTGAATGTCCCACCTTCTTTGATGTAAGATACTTGAACAGAATTAATCAGATCCATAAATAACTTATAAAGTCTACACGAAACTATGTAACTCATGTGATACTGTGTACACATATCTGGTAACACAAACACCAACGTGGACTAGAGTCTGGTTCCAGATATGATTGAGTCAACATGCCCACCCCCCAGCTTCCACTGAATGCAGCCTGAACCACTGAGCAGAACAGCCACAGGCAGACTGAGAGGTCTGGAGTGAACAGCCACAGGCAGACTGAGACTTGGGAAGAAGACCAGAAGAGTAAGAACCATCAAACCCGCGGCGAGTCGGCCACTCAGCCCCAACCCCTGAGTGGCACTGACCCACACAGAGAAGAGTTCCAGGAAGACTCTAGTTCAGACTTGAGGAGCAGAAAGCGGGTCCCCTGGCAGTGGCCAGTGGGGGCCCCCAGGTAACTCTGACTCCCTGGAAGGAAATCTTCCTCACCACCAGGAGGACTGTGACCCTCTGACCTCCTGCCACTGGGCCCTGGACACGGGCCCAGCTGAGGAGACACATGACACAGCAGGGCATACAAACCCCAGCATTCCAGACAAAGGACTGAAAAGGGGAACCTGAGGAGCCAACAAGTACCAGCGACACTGTGCAGAGCTGAAGCTCAGGAAGGTGACCCCACGAGGTCGTCATTAACTCCTGGCCTCGGCCCAAGCCAGGCAAGCACTGATCTGGTCATAAACAGCAGTGTATCCAACATTTGGAGAAGTAAGACGTCAACGACTGCCCAGGTCTCACACTGGCCACAGGGGCACATAGGAGAGGCAGACCCAAGGGCACTGCAAAGGCTTTTGAACATGGAACTGACGGTAAAACCACAGCACAGGGAAGGCTGGTCAGAATTTGCAGGCTGAACCCAACCAGGTCGGCTGCCTGCTAAAACAAAGCACCAACCAATCCCACAGGATCAAACAAGACCCGGGTTCTCAAAACATAATATTCAAATGTCCAGGATGCAACTCAAAGGTACTCAGCATATGAAGAAACAGGAAAAATACCAACTCAAAGGGAAAAGACAACCAAGAGACACCAAGGCCAAGGTGGCACAGATGTTAGTGATATCTGACCAAAGACTTTAAAGAGGCTATTATTTAAAATGCTCCAAAAAGAAGAGCACACACTCAAAATCAATGACGTGGTACACAGAATCTGACAATGGCCCACGATTTTCTGCCCTAACCCCTGGCACTGTGTGCAGACTATCACACCCTGGTAAATGCCAAGGCAGGGAGACTGCAGATACAGCTGAAGTTACTGACCAGCTGACTCTGAGTTCATCAAAGGGAGTCTGCCCAGTTGTCTAATCTAAGTCCGTCAACAGCCCAAAGGTTCCAGGAAGGATTCAGTGAGTTACTGTGGCTTAAAGATAATGTGGGGTCATATGATAAGGAATTCAGTCATCTATAGAAGCTAAAAGTGGCCCCTCCCTGACAGTCAGCAAGGAAACAAGGACCTCAGTGCTACAAAGGCAAGGAACTGGAGTCTACCAGCAAGCTGAATGCACCTGGAAGCATTCTGGCCCAGAGCCTCTAAAAAGCCCAGTCCTGGACAATGCCTTGATTTTGGCTGTGCAAGACCCTCGCTGGAGAACCCAGCTGAGCCCCCTCAGACTTCCGACCTGCCGAACTGTGAATGAAGCAGGTGTTGTTTTAGCCGCTAAATTGGTGGTGACGTGTCACACAACAATAGTAAGTGAAGAGCGATTTTCATACTTGGAAGTGAGGTGCTGCCATAACAAATACTTATTTAAGTTCATTTTGAGGTCATTAATAGACCGGTAACCCTCGAGTACCACATGATAGCATCTGGTACTTACCGACTGCTCTAAGGTAAGAACACTCCTTTTGTTTATGTTATTGCTCTAAAGTAGCATTGAATAGACTACATCCCTGCATTCTCCAGGCAATTTGTTCCTTCTGTTTTTTTTAGAACTATTGCCAAATTAATTGTGTTTTCCTGAAAAAGAGGCCCAATCAGTAATGTCTGACTAATCCATAAAAATGTTAATTTTTAAAGCCCTGGCTGTGTAGCTCAGTGGATTGAGCACTGGCTACGAATTAAAGGGTCGCCAGTTCAATTCCCGGTCAGGGCACATGCCTAGGTTGTGAGCCAGGTCCCCAGTGGGGACCGCATGAGAGGCAACCACACACTGATGTTTCTCTCCCTCTGTTTCTCCCTCCCTTCACCTGTATCTAAAAATAAATAAATAAAATAGTAAAAAAACCACATTAGCTTATCAATACTGTCCACCATACACTTTGAGTTTGGTGCACTGTCCTGGCTTCAAGTCTCCCAGAAGCTGCAGCATGGTGTCCAAGAGCACCCGGCTGGAGTTCACCAGGAATTCACGCCCACACGCTATGGCAGCGACGTCTACAACAGAAAGACAAAACCAAGTTTAAAATCTAACTTCAGACTCTAGAAAAGTTTGTCCACAATACAGTATTTGCTTGTTTTTCTCCTGAAAGACCTACTGAAAACAGAATAGCTGGCAAAACAGAGAAAAATGGTGTTGTCCACAGAGCTGGCAGCCACACGGTTACTCAGACAGGGAGCCATGCGCTTCAAGGTGAGCAGCCCCTTGGCAGTGAAGCCCAGAACTGGAATCGAGCATGTCCGCAGCCAACCAGGGGACACAGCAAGTGGATGCCATCTGCCCAAACCCTGGAATGACAGCTGTGGGCAGCCAGGGTCCACACGGAAAGTGGGGCTGATCACTTTACCTGGGACCGAGGACACTAAAATCGACTTTCAGTCCTGGGAGTGGAATCTTCATGACTTTGAACCACAGTACCAAACCCGAATCGTGAGGCCAAAGAGGATGAAAGCTAATGGTGAAAAAACGCTTTTTTCCTAACGTTTACATCCTATTGTGGGTCAGCCACTCGCACACTTTCTCATGCCTGAGGCCCTGCAGAGACCACAGCTTCCAAGGGACACGGCTGCGGCTGACACGGGCTCATCAGCATCCCAAACACCTGTGAGGACACGTCAGCGACCCAAGTGTGTTTATGTACACACATAATAGTTTTCTTAGCTAAGTTGAACGATAAGCATGATTCGAAATGAGCAAAGTTCCTAGTGGAAGTAAGTGGCCACAGTGGAAGAGAGAAGGGCAGCGGCATCCTTGCTGCCCTGCCTTGAGGAAAGGTTTCAACTCATCACAGCCAAGTGTGGTGCCTGATGCCTGATTCTGGTAGATACCTTTACTGGTTTAAGGATGTTTTCTTCTATTTTCATTTTGCTCAGAATTATCGAGAACTGAGGATGCATTTTATGGCTTACTTGTTCTTTAACTGTACTCTAATGGCAAAACATAAAGGTCCATCACCCCGCCAGCTCACCTTCTCAGAGCTGGGTCCTAGACATTCCTATTTATTTTTGTCTCCTACACTGGGAAGGATCAAGAGAGATACGAAGTCCCCTGAACCTAACCATGTTTTCCCCATTGCTGCTTGTCTTCCCAGCAATCGCTGCCTCAGAAATTGGTGCTGTGTTATTTGGTGTGTGATTCACGACAGTTATAACTTTACTGAAGAGAGGATCCTTCCCTGACAGGACCAGTCTTTGTTCAATGAATTTGAACCTGACAACACATGACACACTCTAGTTTTTCTAAAGAACTACCTGAAGGGGAGATGAAGCTCTAAGCATTTGGCATCATAACCTATAAAAAGTCATCTTAAAGTAATTTTTCAGGGAAAAACCTTCGTGTAACTACAGTTGACCACATACTGGAACCCCACAGGAAACCATATGTCCTCGCTATGAACTTTGGTAGCTAATTTGCAAAAATGACTTGCCAATGAACCATGCCTCTGCTGAAGACCCTGGGGCTGTCCCTGACCTATGACTAAGGTGTAACTGGCAGAATGCGGCAGAACTGGAACCTTATTCTTCAACATGCAGAACCACAGAAGCCAGGGCTGGGGGCACCTCAGGCATCATCTGAGGACTAAGATTCTCTTCTCAGAAGATGAAATCAACAGTCTCAGATGCAAGAACACAGGGCTGGTCAGTGACGAAAGCAAAACTGGACACTGGGCCTCCCTGCCTTCCCCTCCCATCTTCTTTCTCACATACCACACAGCTTCCCTGTGTCGGTGGGAGTGTGAGCAGGAAGGGAACAGGGAGCAGGAACACTGGGGGCCTGGGGGCCAGGAGAAGTGAGGGTCGCTGACACACACGCACTCTCTGGACTTTGTGGAACAACTTCATCCAAGAAGGACGAGCTGCACCAGTCCTGCCCCTGAATTATCAAAAAGCAATCCTGATTCTGAAATCATTGTCTAATAACATTTGAATGAACAAGCCTAGAATAAAGAGACAAAGAGTGCAATTATGACTTTAGAATAACCAAAAGCAGAGAAAGCAAGTTCGAAAATTAAGTTTTCCACTTGCAAGAAAAGCCAGTTCATCTTTGTGGGACTGGGATAGTAATTTGCCACATTCTTCTATCTCCTTCATTTGTCCCCTTACACAAGTTTGTTGGAAATAACCACACCCACTATGTCAAACAGCAGCTTGGTTTACAGCATGCACCACCTACCACAGTTTAGTAGGACATTTACAACAGTGCGTGAGGCCATTAGAACAGGTGCTACTGTCCCACTTTGCAGATGAGGAACAGAAAACCCAGAGAATTTGCATTCTGGGAAGTGGACTCACTGGGGCTGAAAATCCAGACCCTTTCACTACACCAGCCTATTACTAAGGACGGTGACTATGGTTAAGTAAGAAATCTAACAACATATTCAAACAAATTTCTGACTTCCAGATTTTGCTTTAGGATACAGTGAACTGGAAAGAGCTACACCTCGATTCTGTAAAAGGTGGGGGCAGTAATTTGCAAAATCACACATGTTCTTAAACACATCTGATAGCTAAGGTCAGAGATCAACCAACTAACACCAGAAACAGGAAAAGGCAGAGGCTCCAAGAGGAGACTGTGAGGCAGGTCCTCGCTTGCCTGGCGCAGACACTGATGCCAGACAAGCCATCAAGAAAACCCCAGCTAAAGGTTTTGACAAAGTGCCAGAACAGCGGTTGCCTTGGGCTGGTGGTAGAGAGTGGGGCGACTACAGAAGGAAAGGGTGGGGAGACGTTGAGTAGATCTGGGGGAGGCAGTGGAATTGTCCCACAGCCTGACTGGTGGTTACATGATAACATGCATTTGTCAGAACTTAGGAACTGCCAAAAGGTGACAAAAGAAACTGTCAAGGATGAGTTTTTTGTATGTAACTTTTTTAAAGGAATCTCTGTTGTAGAAGGCAGAGAATCTACGTGACAGCTAACCAAGGTCCCTGCTGTACTGCCTGCTCCCCAAGGAACAGGGTCTTAGTATTTGAGATGCATATGCCCCTCAGGCCTCTGCAAAACAGCACCTGAATAAAACCACCACAGTATGTAATGCTCCCACTAAACCTCATAGATGTGGAAGTAAAAACTGCACACACACGTGTCCGCATCCCAGCTCTGCAAGTTCATGTGTGAACCACTCCATGCAGAGAAAAACAAAGCCGAGTTGAGCTTATATGCTGGGCAACAGGCTGGCTCTGCTCACGGCCAACTGCCTCACCGCTACATACCAGCTGGCAATTCAAGCAGCTCAAATTCTCAACTCAGCAGAATGACAAGTCACATATGTCATAGACTTTTGGTGTCATTTGCAAATAGCAAAAATCTAGTCATCAAATTTTCAAATGCCCTGTCTTTAAAAAAAATTTTTTAAGGTACAGCCATGTAAGGCGCCTTCAGCTGAAGGTGCGAGGATGCGAGCGCACGCTGCCCGCAACCCTGCCGCGCATCAGTGCTGGGGAAGCAGGACCGCCTGGACACCAAAGTCTGAACGTGTCCCAGAAGGATCGTGAGGAACCATGGAGGGGCGATGTCTACGCAGGACCTGCCTCACTAGTATTTCAGTAGGTAAAGGGCAGCGCTGTGAGGAAAAACAAAGTGTCCTCTCTCTTCAGTGGCAAAGAACTACCCTAAGAAACAGTAGAGATGAAATAGCAACGTAAAAAATAAGTCGCAGCAATCTAACTACTTCACTGACTTCGGAACAAAGAGCCTCAGTCCTCACTAGCACATACCACACCTGCTGTACTGAACAATCAATTATTTGCTTGGCTTTGTTCCCCATAGCAGTTTTGCCACAGAATTCTACCGTGGCTCTAACCTTTGGGAGACTTTCACTGAAGGGACAATTCAGGTTTTGGAGTTCCTTGATTATTATACCACAACAGCAGCAACAGCTTGGCTGCACAGAGGCTCTGAATTTATTAGACGTTAGTAAAGTGACAATGACTCCAAATGGCAAGCAGCTCAACCTAGAGTTTTACTCTGACTTCTGCAGTTGTACGGACTGTCGTGCGAACTTGTCCCATGCTTCCTAACAGGCCATGCCTGCCCAACAAGGCCGGACCACAGACAGCCTGCATGATGCCCCACGGCTCACACACCAGAACCCCCCCCCCCCCCCACCCGCTGGCCGGAGGCTCCAGAGCGAGGACCACACGGCGTTTGGAAGCGTTCCCAAGAGACGCTAATGCTCCGTCGCTGGGCTGCCACCACGGCTTGGGGCACACTTAGCACAGTTACTGTGCACAAAGAATTACTTACTTGTTACAATTCCAGCCAAAGCAAAGACAAACTGACTTTCATCAGAGTCGAGCTCTTTGACATCCCCATCCAGTGACTTCACAAAACTCTCCATTGTCTGCCCAGTGATGCTGAAAAATTTCAAAGCTTTCTCCTGAAAGTTCGGAAATGAGAATATCATGCCCTTTCACAAATACCAGTACGAAAACATTTTAAAACTGCAGGATACACAAAAAAGACCCTGGTGTTAATTACAGAAGCAATATTTGAAAATCTATTCTTCATTAAAAGTTTCTGTTGAAAAGATGAGGAAAAAAGGGTTTTACTTTATTAGACTTTAATAGAATTATTAGTAGAAAAACTACCCTGAAGACTAATTCAAAGAATAAAATTAAAATATGCCCTGGCTGGTATGGCTTTAATGGATTGAGTGCCAGACTGAGAAGTGAAGGGTTGCAGGTTTGATTCCTAGTCAGGGCAGATGCCTGGGCTGTGAGCCAGGTTGCCAGTAGGGGGCACGAGGGGCAACCACATGTTGATGTTTTTTTCCCCTCTCTAAAAACAAACAAGTAAAATCTTAAACAAATACATATACATACACACGTATATATGTGTGTGTATATGTGTTTGTATGTATGTATGTATGTATGTATGTATGTATGTATTTGGGGTACTTGGCCAGGTGACTCAGTTGGTTGGAGTATCATCCCAATTACCAAAGGGTTGTGGGTTCAACCCCCCAGTTGGGGCACATATAGTAGGCAACCAATAAATGTTTCTCTGTCACGTTGATCTCTCTCTCCCCCAACCTCCTTTCTTTCCAAAATCAATAAACATACCCTTGGGTGAGGATTACACACACACAGACACACACACGCGCGTGCGCGCGCGCGGGGAACAGTTTGAAATTCACATAATGACGGAAGTACTGGGATGAATTCACCCAAAAATGTACCGGAAAAATATGTCCTGTTTGTTCTAGACATGAAACCAGAGGTTTTCAAACCTTTGGCAAAACTGCTTTTCAAATAAAATCTTAACTGAAACCTCAGCACGTAAAAGAGGTCAAGACAGTGAGCAGGCCCATGTGGCGGTCGTGACTGAGCACAGAGCACTTCCAGGTGTGCGGAGCCGCGGCAGCACTTCTCTGAGGAATGGTGTGCACACCAGGCGCCAGGGGGTGTCAAGGGTGACACACGTGCTCCACGCCCAGCCGTGGTGCTGGCACCCGAGTGTGGCAATCAGCTACATGCCACTCAGTGGTCCACTCACAGACGCTGAACTTACCGCACACAAACTACACCTTGATGAAGTTCAATGCTCTTTTTAAAATGCATTTAGTCTCTCCCCTGCAAGTCCTACACAACTGTAATTTTTAGAAATGGTGACCAGTTCATCACCAGCCTGACCAAACATCCCCGCCAGGCTTTTATTTCCATTCACGACACCCCATTCTCGCAGGTTCACACCTCAGTCTTCCTTGGTTCCCTTCCTTCTGTCAGCTGTGGAGTCCACGCTGTCACCACATGGACCACAGGCTCCCCTCCCCTTCCTTCTCCCCTACAGATCAGCTCACTCCAGCCTGAGCCACTGGAACTTGGATTCGTCTTCCTGTCCCGCCTGCAGACCCCACACCCCACCTCCGATCCATCCTCACTCCTGCCGGGTTCGCCTTCCCAGACTCTCCTCTGGTCCTGCCCACTTTTACCCAGTGCTCGGGAACCCAGTCCTCGCGCCCCTGGGGCTGCATCGCCAACCCGCACTGGCTGTCTTCTAAGTCGCACTCCACAGGCCTTGCAGCCTTCTCTGCCCACGTTATTACGCAACCCTCCACTCTGCGTCAGGCGCCCTCCCAGTGCCCACAAACAAACTCCTAAATTTGCCCGATGCCTTCAACATGCTGTTTCTCTCCTCGTGGAACACCCTCCCTGTTCTATGCCATTACTGCCTATTCAAGTTAATCACAGCCCATCTCAAATCTGTCTCCCTCTGTGTAGTTCCTTGATATGTGTGTGTGCTATTAACATGTATATGTTAAATCACAATAACATTCAATGTTACCCAATAGATAACATATGTAAAAACACTGTAATCTGTGTTATATGTATACCAATGCCAAGGAATAATACCCAAGTGGAACAATGGCAACAAAGGCCATACAGCTTCTGGGATCTTACTGCATTCGTTGTACACACCCTCAGAGCAGCAGGTTACAGTGGGCCCCACACAGCTGACATCCCTGAAATATCTGACGAATGCACAAGAGAAATGGACACCGTCTGTAAGCCCTAACAGACACGCTGCGCCCTCCCAGTCACATAAACACTGATGGACAATGTCCAGCTGGCCGCACTTACTCCTCCCAGAATGGCTTTGACCACCTCCTCGCTCCTGGAAGCACCCCAGAGCAGCGTGCAGGCTGCTGCGCCCATCTCTGTGCAATACGCTGCCTGCTGCAGAAGCTGCTGCTTCGCCTCGTTCAGCTGCTGGCGCAGAGCCAGTTTCTCCTGAAATCAAAACAAAATCAGAAAAATGAATAGCATTCAACTTCAGAATATCCCATGTTTTCCCTTTCAATGATATTTTAAAGAAAAGAAATGCACACAGAATTATAGAAAACAGTTGGCAAATGAAAACTAGTCCTTAGAAAGCCATAATCCATATTTTTAAAATAAACCTCAGAACCAAAATTAACTGTTAGAAAACAACATCCTACTGCATTAGAGTTTATAGATACTGCCAAAGTCCAGAAGCTTTCATTCAGGGGAGAAAAGGGAACAGCAGGGACACAGATTCATCTCAAGTCAAAGGAAAACATTAGGCATCTCAGGTCCCAAGTGGCTATACCCAGGACCAGGACCAGGACCAGGACCAGGACAGCTGGGACACGTGAACAAAGTGACAACCTCACACAGTAGTCCACACACAGAGCAACATTTTGATAAAGGAGCCTGCTGTCTCCAAGTGGCTCACTCCGCTGTAAAACCGCCACAGGACACAGCTAACACCACACAGGAAAGACGGGAATAGAGGAAGGAGAGGGGTACAGAGGGAGGGCCTCCCGGGCAAGCACTGGACTGGCACGGCAAGGTAAGTGCCAGTGTCTCGAGACGACGGAGGCCTTCTCGCTCTGCCACCAGCACCCCTGAGGAACCTTCCCTGGGAAGTCTGAGCCAGGGCTCTTACCAACGAGAGAGAAAGTGAACTGTCCTCCAGGTGTCCCTCTGACCACCGAAAACACCTAAAGATTCACCTGCAGGTGGGTCTTAGGTGATGTGGGAAGTCCTGCCCACAAAGAAGTCCCCAACCACCACTGCTGGATTCACTATTCCTTGCTACCTGAAATTCCCTTAGAAGGTAGTAGTATTTCTCTAATAAGAGATACACTTAAAATACAAAAACACAGTTAAATTAATTTATTCCAAAGCATAATTAGCTCAATAGCCCAAAAAGTTGAAGTATATTAGATGCTCCAGGTTCTTCATTTAGAGAGGTGAGAGTACAGGACAAAGTCCAGGGGCTTTTGTCTGCGGTAGAAAAGAGCAGTGGGGCCACAAACCAAACTTTGTTGACCTTGTAACTTGGTCCCAGGTGGCCCCCCGGAAAGGGTACACTTGGTATACAGAGCTTCATTCACACTCCTGTAACATAAACTGAGGTTTGTAGCTGCAACTACACGAAACACAGCATTAACAAAGCTGCTATGACAATCACACCCTGTGTGTCTTTTCCCATGTGAACAAGTGCAAAGCTACTTCTGCCCTCCCCTATACGGCCATATTTATTTTGGGAGAAAAGTGGTCACTGAGCCAACAACATGTTCTTACACTGCTTTACAGGATTTTTCAGCTCTGGGTTCTTAAGGCCTGACTTCATCACAACAGTGATCTGGACACCTGGTTCGTTCTTCAGGTGTCTATCACTGAAGCTGCTGAAGTCAAGGTGGCGTGTGCAGAAGACTAGACCACAGCATTTCCCATAAGATTTCCAGCTTTTAGGAGGGCTGTGGAGCTGGCTGAAAAAGGTGAAGGGACTAAGGAAAATATATCTCCTCAACACAGAAAACAGTATAGGGAGTACCAGAGGGACAGGGGGATAGGGAAGAGGCAGAAAAGGGTAAAAGGGAGATAAATGGTGATGGAAGGAGACTTGACTTGGGGCGGTGAACACACAATACAATACACAGATGATCTACTATAAAACTGTACACCTGTATAATTTTATTAACCAATGTCACCCAACTACATTCAATTAAAAGGAGAAAATAAATAAAAATTTAAGAAAAGACTCCTAGCTTCTCTCACAATGGGAGCAGTATGAATGCCAGTTAGTCTGGTTGTGGTGATGCTGCTGCAAGATCACACATAAGAACGGCTGGAGGAGACCGGGCAGGGCTGTCTTCACTGTGGTCCCATCTGGGGGTTACAGGCAGATATGCCCTGACGTAGGGCTGTACCCACAGTACAGTGATAGTAAAAAAAAAAAGAAAGAAAGAAAACCCTCAAAGAAAACAATTGCATTCACAACACCAAAAATAAAACAGGTCCCTGACCAGCATGGTTCAGTGGGCTGGGCACCATCCCACGAAGCCAAAGGTCGCCAGTTTGATTCTTGGGCAGGGAACATGCCCCAGTTTTGGGTTCAGTCCTAGTCAGGGTGCACATGAGAGGCAACTGATCGATGTTTCTCTCTATTTCTCCCTCCTTTTCCTTCTCTCTAAAAATGAATAAATAAAATCTTTTTTTTAAAAATAAGAGTAAACGTAAGAAAGGTAGCTCATGACCTGTACAATAAAAACTACAAAGCATTATTGCGAGAAAAAAAAGATTTAAATACAGACAGCCCTCACTTCATTGCAATGGCTTCACTGCGCGCGCTCAGAGCCGTGTGTCGGCCCCCCTGAAGGTGTGTGGCAGCCCTGCGCCAAGCAAGTCTATTGTTGCCATTTTCCACACCTTCACTCACTTCACGTTCCTGTGTCACATTTTGGTAATTTGCACAATACTTTAAACTTTTCGTTATTATTTTTGTTCTGATGACCTGTGATCAGTGATCTCTGATGTTACTATTGTAATTGTTTTGGGGAGCAGTGAATGGCACCTGTCTCCATTTAAGACGGTAAACTTCATAAATGTTGCATGTGTTCTGACTGCTCTAATGACCAGCCATTCCCGTCTCTCTCCCTGAGACACAGTAATATTGAAATCAGGCCAATAAGCCTATAATAGCTCTAAGTGTTCAAGTGAAAGGAAGAGTCACACACCTCTCACTTTACATCAAAAGCTAGAAACAGCTAAGCTTAGTGAGGAAAGCATACTGAAAACTGAGACGGGCTGAAAGCTAGGCCTCTCGCACCAGTTAGCCACATTGTAAATGCAAAGGACAAGCTCCTGATGAAAAGAAAAGTGCTAGGAAATGATAAAGTGAAGCAGCCTTACTGGTGATACGGAGAAAGTTTTAGTGGTCTGGATAGATCAACCCAGCCACAACATTCCTTAGACCAAACCCTAATCCAGAATGAGATGCCTACCTCGCTTCAACTCTGTGAAGGCTGAGAAAAGTGAAGAAGCCACAGAAGAAAAGTCTGAAGTTAGCAGAGGCTGGTTCACAAGGTTTACAGAAAGAAGCCATCTCCTACCATGACCATGCAATGAGAAGCAGCAAATGCTGCTGTAGAAGCTGCAGCGAGTCACCCAAAATATCTAGCTAAGGTAATTAACGAAGGTGGCTACACTAAACAACTGATTTTCAATGTAGATGAAACAGCCTTGGATTGGAAGAGGCCACCTAGGGCTTTCCCAGCCAGAGGGGAGAAGTTGGTGCCTGGCTTCAAAGCATCAAAGGACTGGCTGACTCTCTTGGTGGAGCTAATGCAGCTGGGGACTTTACGTTGAAGCCAGTGCTCATTCACCATTTAGAAAATCCTAGGGCCCTTAAGAATATGCTAACTCTATTCTGCCAATGTTTTATTAATGGGGCAAAAAAGGCTGGATGATAGCACATCTATTTACAATATGGTTTATTGAATATTTTAAGCTCACTGCTCAGACCTACTGCTCAGAAAAAAAATCCTTTCAAAATAGTACCACTCACTGACAGTGCCCTCGGTCACTCGAGAGCTCTGGTGGGGATGGACGAGACCAACGTCGTCTGCACACCTGCTAACACAATACCCATTCTGTATTGTGGTCAAGGAGTTACTTAGACTTTTAAGTCTTATAATTTAAGAAATACATTAATCAAGCTCAAACTGCCATCACTAGTGGATCCTCTGATGGGTCTGGTCAAAGCACACACATTGAACACTTTCTGGAAAGGATTCACCATTCAAGATACCATTCAGAACATGTGAGATTCATGGGAAGGGGTTGAAATATCAACATTAACAGGAATTTGGAAATTGATTCTAACCCTTGTGGATGACTCTAAGGCTTCGGTGGAGGAAGCAGCTGCATATATGGTGGAAATAGTAAGAAAACTAGAATTAGATCTTGAAGATATGACTGAACTGCTGCAATCTGATGATTAAACTTTAACACATGAAGATTTGCTTCTTATGGATGAGCAAAGAAAGTGGTTTCTTGAGATGGAATCCACTCTTTATGAAGATGTTGTGAATACTACTGAAATGTCAGCAAACGGTTTATAATATTACATAAACTTAGCTGATAAGGCATCAGCAGAGTTTGGGAGTATGACTTCAATTGTGAAAGTATTTCTACTGCGGTTTATAAAAGGCTATCAAACAGCATCACGCACCACAGAGATATCATTTGGGAAAGGAAGAGCCGATCAGTGCTGCCAACCTCAGTGTCATCTTATTTTAAGAAGCTGTCACGACCACCACCTCGATCGGGCACAGTCAACAGCCATCAACGCTGAAGCAAGACACTCCCCCAGCAAAAAGACTGCACCTCGCTGAAGGCTCGGATGACAGTTATGCTTCTTAACAACAGAGCATTTTTAGTAAAGGTACGTACATTTTTTTAGACATCATGCTATTTTTGCACATTTATTAGACTATAGTATAGTAGAAATATAAATGTTTATGGGACCTGGGAAATGGAAAACTCCGTGACCAGCTTCATCGCAGCAGTCTGGAGTGGAACCTACGATACCTCTAAGATAAATCTGTGAATGGAGAAACACACCATGTTCATGGATTGGAAGGCCTGAGATTAGTAAATTGGCAACTCTCCCCAAACTGATTCACAGATTCAACACAACCCCTATCAAAATTTCAGTAGGCTTTTTTTGTATGAAGTAATAATCTGATTCCAAAATGGAAATGGAAATGCAACTTAAGTTTGAAAAAGAAAAACTGTTAGAGGACTAACACTGATTTCAAAAATAAAAACTTACCATAAAGCTATAAAAATCAAACCAGTGTGGCACTGGCATAAGAATGGACGAATAATAGTTCGGTAAACACTAACATTTATGGCAATCAATTTTAACAAAGATGACAAGGCAATTCAATGGAAAAACTGTGTTTTCCAAAAGTGAT